AGTTGCCTCAGTTCAATGCTGTTTTCTGCAGCTAGCCGACGCTCTGCTCGACTAGCAGAGTTCTCCTGTTCGAGACACTCTATTCTGTTCCTCAATTCAGCAATTGTACTCCTATGCTGACCACACTCAGACTGCGAACTTGCCAGTCTGCCCTTAATTTCTTGCTGTCCTTCCAGCAAGGCCTGTAACACGTTAGCATGCCTCTGCTTTTTCTTGGAACATTTCAGATTCCTTTCCCTGCATGCCTCCTCTAGCCACTCTAGAGGGTCTAACTTATCTGTGAGAGATCCGTACGATCCCTCCTTGCAATGCTTTGCAACATATTCGATGGCCCACTCCATCATTGTAGGTTCTGAGTATAAGTTTAAACTCTCAGTATAAACTTACACAATACACCTACAGTGCTGGTTTACCTCAAGGACACAGGGTTACAGTGTGGGGAACCCTGCTGGTGCTTTCTTACCAAAGCCCATCTGTTTAGGGCAGATTGTCAGATGGTCTCTTTCTATTTCTGTCTTTGGCTTGATGTAACATGGGAATGTTTGGCTTTTGCTTCATCAAAACTGGAAATGAACCAGCTGGTACAGCTGTGGAAGGAAAAGAATGCAGGAAGTGGCCCAATTTGCACAATTAAGAGAAGCCATGTGTCAGGTTAAGAAATTATTGTATTTGAAAATTTGAATAAACATAGTGCCACCTGGTGGTTTCATAAATACATGTAATTATACTGATAAATGATATAAAATGAAATATAAATAAATCTACATTCTCTGGAAGAATAGAGTACAAGTCAAGACACAATTTAGTGACTCAAGCATTTTGAATTTGTATGTTTTTTGATAGTTTACCCACAAACTTTCTGTCTCACCCTTATCCTGGCCATTTTCCAAGAATTTAGTCAAATTGAATTTGAATTTTCACCTTGGTAGTAAAACTGCATTTTGAAAATGAAATTGATGTAACCCCAGATCCAGAATCAGCTTGACTTAAAAATGTCTGATAATTATTAAACTTTGTGTAGCAGGCAGAAGATACCATTTTTAGCCAGGGGACAAGTTGATCTCTTTTCAGATTTTGATATAGAAATATAGGACAAATACAGTGGTGTGAAAAAGTGTTTGCCCCCTTCCTGATTTCTTATTTTTTTGTATGTTTGTCACAAGTAAATGTTTCAGATAAAACAAATTTAAATATTAGACAAAGATGACACAAGTAAACACAAAATGCAGTTTTTAAATGAATCCAAACATACATCACCCTGTGTGAAAAAGTGATTGCCCCCTAAACCTAATAACTGGTTGGGTCACCCTTAGCAGCAACAACTGCAATCAAGCCTTTGCAATAACTGGCAATGAGTCTTTTACAGCTCTGTGGTGGAATTTTGGCCCACTCATCGTTGCAGAATTGTTGTAATTCAGCCACATTGGAAGGTCATGCCACAGGATCTCAATCGGATTCAGGTCAGAACTTTGACTAGGCCACTCCAAAGTCCTTATTTTGTTTTTCTTAAGTCATTCAGGGGTGGACTTGCTGGTGTGTTTTGGATCATTGTCCTGCTGCAGAACCCAAGTGCGCTTCAGCGTGAGGGCACGAACAGATTGCCGGACATTCTCCTTCAGGATGTTTTAGTAGACAGTAGAATTCGTGGTTCCATTTACCACAGCAAGTCTTCCAGGTCCTGAGGCAGTAAAACAGCCCCAGAATATCACACTACCACCACCATATTTTACTGTTGGAATGATGTTACTTTTCTGAAATGATGTGTTACTTTTACACCAAATGTAATGGGACACACACTTTCCAAAAAGTTCAACTTTGTCTCATCAGTCCACAGAGTATTTTCCCAAAAGTCTTGGTGATCATCAAGATGTTTTCTG